CAGAGACAGGGGGGACACAGAGAGAGGGGGCACAGAGAGGGGGGGCACAGAGAGGGGGGGCACATAGAGGGGGGGCACAGAGAGAGGGGGGGCACATGGACTGCCACTCTCATTGTGCTGGGCCAGAGAATGGACTCTGCAGACTGTGCTGGTGCTGTGTAAATAATTTATATTTAAATAGAGAGACTATAATCTCTATAAAACGATATCACATACACCCAAATCTGCTGGGAAATGGTATTTAATCCAGAGGAGCCAACGTTTCATCCCTAGAATCTAATTCTCAATGTCCTGATACAGCTATCACTTTCCCAGCGTCGCATCCACACCTTACCATTCCCAATGTCACGATTCAGCTATCCCATTCCCAGCGTCGCATCCACACCTTACCATTCCCAATGTCGCGATTCAGCTATCCCATTCCCAGCGTCGCATCCACACCTTACCATTCCCAATTTCCCAATACAGCTATCCCATTCCCAGCGTCGCATCCACACCTTACCATTCCCAATGTCCCGATTCAGCTATCCCATTCCCAGCGTCGCATCCACATCTTACCATTCCCAATGTCCCAATACAGCTATCCCATTCCCAGTGTCGCATCCACACCTTACCATTCCCAATGTCCCAATAAAGCTATCCCATTCCCAGCGTCGCATCCACACCTTATCATTCCCAGTGTCCCGACTCAGCTATCCCATTCCCAGCGTCGCATCCACATCTTACCATTCCCAATGTCCCAATTCAGCTATCCCATTCCCAGCGTCGCATCCACACCTTACCATTCCCAATGTCCCGAGTCCACGGGCTGCGGGTTGACATGCTTGGCCTAGATGAAGAAGGATCGTTACAATACCCAAGCGTCCAATCTTTAGGTGCAGAAAAGGGCCCTAGTATTTCTCAAACTCAAAAATGGTTTGACAAAAAAACTATGGAAAAGCAAACACTTATAGCACTGTAACCACAACAAGGAGCTATAGTAGTTATGGTGTTTAGAGTGCCCCTTTAGCATCGCAAGTAATTCAGGTGAGACGAGGAGTTTTTAAAAAAAAATTATATTCATCATTTGATTGGTTGATTCATTTGCATATGGTGACAGTTGGCAAACTTTGTTTTTATATTTAAATGATAAAATAATATACCAAAATCTTGCTCTGTGTCCACCTCTGTTCCCTATTTTCCTAAATTGTAAACTCACATAAGCAGGGTCCAATTCACCAATGTTTATCTTCAAAATCAAACTGATTGCCACTTTATTTGTAGATTAGTTTTCCCCACCACACAGCACGGTAGAATATGAATATTAATTGTAGGGTAGGATTTATTGGCCTTTAATATATAATAGGGTCAGTGGGCCGTGGGGGGTTGCAGTCCTCTGCATTATACATTACTCGCAACAATGCTGCACACAATGTGAAAAAGCCAGACACATTCCCCAGCATAGCAGGAATTCTGTGATACTGCTAGAAGGCACACTGTGTAATGTTTTTCTATATTGTGTATTTGTACAGGACATGTAGTCTCTGGCTTGATCATTCATCCGGATAGAGAACATCTCATTTACCCTTTGGGGAGCACAGTGATCATTGAGAGCCTCCAAAAACGCAAGCAACAGTTTCTCCAGGGCCACACCAACAATGTGTGCTGTTTGGCTGTCTCCAAAAGTGGAAAATATATAGCATCTGGACAGGTGACCTACATGGGATTCAAGGTAGGTCACACAATCACACAGGCACTATACTGTGGCTTTCTTTGGCGTCGCTTTCAATGATCAACTCCTCCTAGGTGTCCACATGCTTCCCACCATGTGAAAAGGACAAAATGAGCATTTATTTTAGGGGTGTGAGTAGGGTTTGGCCAGGGACGGGCTATTTTTTTTAGAAATTTTAGGTGACATACTAATAACAATTTATGCAACTAAAATGTATTTTAGGACTAGAACAATGTATCTTATTTACCCAGACTAAATTCTAACCACAATTCTTGCAGTATAAAGACACATTCCTGGCAGTATTATTGCTGTGGAACTCTGTCATACACTCAGGCACATTACTGGGAGTATTATTGCTGTGGAGCTCTGTCATACACTCAGGCACATTACTGGGAGTATTATCGCTGTGGAACTCTGTCATACACTCAGGCACATTACTGGGAGTATTATTGCTGTGGAGCTCTGTTATACACTCAGGCACATTAATGGGAGTATTATTGCTGTGGAGCTCCGTTATACACTCAGACACATTACTGGGAGTATTATTGTTGTGGAACTCTGTCATACACTCAGGCACACCAACAACACGGAGCTCCTAGAAAAGAGGGACATTAGGATAGAAAAGAGGGACAGAGGGATTTTAACCCAGAATAGAGACTGTCTCTCTGTATAGCGACAATTGTGATGTATGCGTCCACACTGCATCTCTTTAAATAGACAACATAAAACAAAGCACATTTGCTCTCTGTGTGTCCATGTTAACACTTAAACCAGGGTCCACAGAAACAAAGGAAAGTGTTAGTGAAGCAAACGCTACTGTTTTTGGGACTGGGTGTGTTACTTCTATACATCCCCATTGTAAAGACTAAGCTACAGTAATATAAAGGGATACAAATACATTCATGTAAATTGATTATATATTAATTAAATGATCAATTCCAATTTCAGGGGTATTCACTAATTTGAGAATTGAAAGTGAATTTCAAACCAAGGTAACTGAACTGAAAACATAGCTCATTTAGAGAATTTCTCCAGTTCGTCCGTTTTGACCTTAATTTTGAAATTCACTATGAAATCACATTCAATCCTCCCGTTAGTAAATAACCCTAAATGTGTTTGAAACGTTAGAGATAGTAAAAAATATAGGATTTTGCCGGCTATGTCTGTCATTGCTGAAAAAAACATCTTTGTATTTTAGAGAAAGTGTAAGAAAGTGCAAAGCTGTATTCTAGATCTAGATTTAAAGCATGGTGAATGACCAGGAAAAATAGGTAATAAATTAATATTAATATTACTAAGACCAAAGACAAATATTTGACCATGTTACTCTGCAGGCTGACGTCTTCATATGGGATTACGCTAAGAGAGAAGTCTATGCCAAGCTAACACTTCACAAGGTCAAAGTCGAAGCTTTGGCCTTTTCTCCAAATGACCGATACTTGGTGTCTCTAGGAGGACAGGACGATGGCAGGTACATCAATATATTCTCTTACACAATGTATAGACAGCAACTGTTCTTCTTCAGAGTGCCCTTAGGGTGAAAATGAAATACCATGATATTTATAGAACGTCCTCTCTCTCACATGAAAGGCTGCCATTTCTATGCACTGTCATATTGCCACTTTATCATCCAAATTATAGGAGGGTACGTGTTGCCCCCACATACTTAATTGGTATGATTTAAAAATTTATGTAAAAATCTTGTAAAATATTTTAACTAACTTTAATTTCATGTGGGCACATTGGGCATGCTGCATCATCACATGAATTAGAGCGGGGGAGCCCAAAAATAGATTCCCAGGTGTTTTAAAACTACAGCTTCTATGATCCTGTGTCATTCTAAAGACATTCTAATGGCATGCAAAGCTTCATGGAAGTTGTAGTTCTACATCATCTGGGGAGCTGCCTTCTGGGTACCCCTGTTTTGGGCACTAGATTATCTCTTCTATGTACAGCGGAATGCTGTGTACTAATAAGGCAATCCCAAGCTATAATTGGCTCCTGGCAGATCATGCCCTTAGTTCACTGTATGCCTGTATCAATAATAGTCTCAGAAGGTTTAAAACATGGGTCGTCAACCTGGTCACTAGTGGGCGTTTCAGGATTCCAGGTGGGCGGTAGGGATTTCAGAGATTGGGTGGGTGGGCAGGAGGGCGGGTGCGAGCCGGCGGTACCCCTGTGACCGGGTACCGCCGTCCAAGGGGTCCATCGGGTGGCCCACGCTGTCAGGGCCACCCGATGGATGTGGATTGAGAGGGGGCCCGGTCAACGCTGGGCGCTTTAACAGCGCGACCGGGCCCCCTGTGATTACATCACATGCTGGGAGCAAGTGACTGCATGTCACTCCTCCTAGCTAACACTGAGAGCCGCGCGGGAGGAAGACCAGGGAGTCAGAGTAGGAACTCTGACACCCATGCACCTGAGCCACCACTGGACCCCAGGGAAAGTCACCCTCCTGCACCTAAAAGGTAGGAAACAGGAGGGTGACAAAAATATTTTGTCTGTGTTTGTTTGTGTGTATGTGTCTTTGTATGTATGTCTTGTGTGTGTGTCTGTCTGTATGTCTTGTGTGTGTCTATGTATGTATGTCTTGTGTGTGTGTGTGTCTATCTGTATATATGTGTATGTATGTGTGTCTTTGTCTTTGTATGTGTGCCTTGTGTCTGTATGTGTGTATGTGTCTATGTATGTCTTATGTGTGTGTGTCTTTGTATGTGTACCTGTCTGTTTGTATGTATGTATGTGTGTCTGTATGTATGTGTCCCTGTCTGTTTGTATGTATGTGTACCTGTATGTATGTGTGCCTGTCTGTATGTATGTGTCGTGTGTGTGTGTGTGTGTCTGTATGTGTGCCTGTCTGTTATAGTGGGCTATAGGAAGTGGGCTACCTAGCCAAGCCTTCCTACTGGGCATTGCTATAAGGAAGGTTAAAAAATAGAAAAAAGGGGTAAAAAAGGTGGGGAGGGGAATTGAGGAGGGAGATGAGTTGAGCTGACGCACAGATGAGAAATCATATTATGCGCAAACAGAGAAGTTGTCTGAATATCACCGAAAGAGGAGACCTTTGTTTGTTCCTTACGAAAATCGAACCAGATATCAAATATTAAGTCTTGCAGCATCAGCCTCAAGGATCTCATTAATCACTAGTAATGGTAATTTCAATTTACTTTATTGTTTTCCAATTAAACTTTATAAAGTTAAAAACATTATAAGCATGCATAAAGTAGAAATAAAAAGATAAATGTACGTACATTTATTTTTTTTTAAAACACCCTCCTTTCTAAAAAATATTCTGCACTTGCGCGAAAACTGGTGGGCGGCAAGGAAATTTTTCCATCAAGAAAGATGCATTAGTGGGCGGTAGGTAGAAAAAGGTTGACTACCACTGGTTTAAAAAGATGTATAGGTTTCCAAAATGGCCACCTCCACAGAGAGAAATGATCTTCTCTTCAAGTGGTAATTGCAGCTTAACTTTCTGTATCTAGCTAGATGTAAATAATATGAATAGTTTAAGAATGTTGCTTTGAACAGATTCAAGTAAATAAGATATCAGCGGGCAGCTCCACTTTAATGACCTTATTGTAAATTTGAGCTCCTCTCTCAGCATATAATTGGAAGGATTGATTGTGTCTGTTATTTAATTGTTTTTTCCTCATAGTGTTGTCTTATGGGATGTGATGAAGAAAGAAGCTATTTGTGGAAGTCCAGCCTCCGCCATAAGTGCCGGAGCTGCCTTAACTGTAGCCTTCAGCAACAGCAATGATGGGGTATTTGTGACTGGCGGGAAGTAAGTCTCAATATTAGAATCAGAAAACATCTTTGTTTAAAATGATTTAATACTGGGAGCAGAATTAACAATGCAACCACCTCCCCTAAATTGATGACATCAGTGAGCAACATCAAGCATTTACTAATCAAAGCAAATTAATTAATGAATTAAAGCAAATAAAGTACACAAACACTATACCAACAAATATCATTGCAACACATTGATAACAAAGCAAATTCACAGAATGCCTAATTTGCACAGGTTTAAAGAAATATGTACACATATCAAAGTCGATTTGGAACACAACAGATTAATGTCACCCACTGTCCTCATCACTATAAGTGAGTCACACAGGCAGGTCAGATCGTTCCCAAATAGAACGTTATTAATATGGGCAATCTCAGGCTATTTGGTTTAAGCTCATGTGATTAACAAGGATGACTGAAATTAAGCTTGGTTTTAAGATAATAACATTTTATAACTTTAGTGGTGTTCCTGGCAGAAAATTGTTGTTGGAAGCACTCACGCCTTACCAGGCAAAAGTCAGAAAACTTTATTGATTGTATACTGATGCTAGATTGTAATTTTCCCCTGTACTACCAGAATTTGCATTTAACTTTTAGATTTACCAGAGTGCTAATATGCTAATGTAGAGTGCATAGGTTACAGATCTTGCTGACCTGCTCCTTGAGATTTTGAGCATGCATGAGGTTGATATCCGAGATAAATGGTAACAGCGTTTGACGTGTCTTTATTTCACCACAGTGGGACACTGCGTGTTTGGGAACTAGACCTTCCCAACAGGAAAATGCGCCATACGGATTGTCAAACGGGGCATCTGAAGAGATCTGTGACTTCCTTGGCAGTGAGTAAAAACCCAGGAAATCTTGCCGCCATCGCCAATTGGCCTATACACTTTATTTGCTAAACTCTGGCACTGATAATATATTGGTAAACCACCGACTAGCCTTCAGTTTCTATCTCAGGTTTAAAAAAATTGATGCATTTCCAAAATGGCCACCATCACACAGATAAATTATCTTATCTTCAAGTTGTAATTGCAGCTTCCCTTACTATAACTTAACCTACTATAACTGTAATTTAACGTATTATATATAGCTAGATATGAATAATATCAACATTATTTTTTAATTTATAATTACACGGGGTTAATGTGGGCCCGTATGCATTTGTGTACTCACACAATGCTAAGCATGTAAGACTGCATGTGTGCAACTCATAGCACAGACCCATATTCAAACACAACATTAAATAGTGGTTAACATTTTCATCTTAATGGTGCAGGGTTATTCACTAACTTGTGAACAGCATTAATTCCAAAGGGGTTTATTCACTAACCCCTGGACTGTAACAAACTGAAATTCTAAAAGCACAAATTACAGGGTTATCCACTAAACTCTGAATTTTAGTGAATTAAATCCATAAGGGAAAATTGAGGCAACAATTTCAAAGTTCGATTATAACTGAGTTGTAAAATTTTTGCAAATTAGCCATTTTAGCCTCAATTTTGCTATTAGGATTTAATTTACTAAAGTTGGATAAAATATGTTTTTGAATAGTATGTAAATACACGTTACATACATATTTTAATGTTTTAATAACAGCCAGATCACTAGCTACAATTACAGAGGCTTCACACAATATATCAGAGCTGCAGTAATTACAGTCTAAATGTAAATCTGGCTCAAAATACACAGACAAGAATTCAGCTAATTTAAAATATTTCAATGCTACTTAAAACACCTATCGCAAATAAACAGTATGGTCACCTAAATGGGCACATTGTGTCATCAGTTTATCAACCTATCTGATATTGGTGAATACTGGCCTAATTTTAAAGGACCACTATAGTGCCAGGAAAACATACTCGTTTTCCTTGCACTATAGTGCCCTGAGGGTGCCCCCACCCTCAGGGACCCCCTCCCGCCTGGCTCTGGAAGGGGGAAAGGGGTAAAAACTTACCTTTTTCCAGCGCTGGGCGGAGAGCTCTCCTCCTCCTCTCCGCCTCCGTTACGCCCCGCCGGCTGAATGCGCACGCGCGGCAAGAGCTGCGCGCGCATTCAGCCGGTCTCATAGGAAAGCATTTACAATGTTTTCCTATGGACGCTGGCGTGCTCTCACTGTGATTTTCACAGTGAGAAGCACGCAAGCGCCTCTAGTGGCTGTCAATGAGACAGCCACTAGAGGATTAGGGGGAAGGCTTAACCCATTGATAAACATAGCAGTTTCTCTGAAACTGCTATGTTTATGAAAAAATGGGTTAACCCTCGCTGGACCTGGCACCCAGACCACTTCATTAAGCTGAAGTGGTCTGGGTGCCTAGAGTGGTCCTTTAACAGAGGAGATAATGTGCTAACCTCATTATTTATGATACCGCTTAAACCCTGCAGGGGGGTCTCTGTGAATATATAGACTTTATGGGACACTTACTATGGGGTTCCTGCATTTGTAGGGGTCAGTGTGTCATAGTGTATTGGAGTGTCTGTGTTACATATTCCCTAATTCACACACTTCTTCCAGGTGGCTGAAGATGACAGCTGTTTCTACTGTGGGACGACCACTGGAGACATCCTCAAAGTTAACATGAAAACCAAACTGCTGAACAGCTGTGGACCTGAGAAAAAAAGGTTTAGTCTGGTGAGTCAGTTCTTGTGTTTATCACTAAGCTCTTTCAGAACTCAGTGCATCTAACTCAATTGTTTGTTTCTGATCCGAAAACACAATGTCATACCTCCCAGCATTTCAAAATTTGGCAGTATACTCTTGATTATGGACTCCTGTCCCGACATCTTGTGTCTGCTTACAGGTGCCCCACTTCTAGGAACATCTCAGCTGTAAGTTGTAAAATAGGCAGTGTTTTTGGCTGCAGTTTTGCAACTTTGTTTCTTAACACATCAAAATTCCCTGTTTAGTCAATACACCATGTGGTGTTGGGTTCTATGGTGAAGCCTCATTATTTTCTATAATATCATATTCTTGGGTTTAAGTAGTGAGGTTTATACTCTTGCTTTCTTCTTGCCAGGGAGTGACTGCTTTGATCATCCTGAAGTCAGAAGAATTCCTAATCGGATCCGGGGATGGAAAGGTAGCACTGTGCAAAGGACCAAACTACAAGGCTACAAAGTGAGTGATCAGAACTGAATAATAAGGCTTAGGTTAGCAGTGCTCTACAGGGAGTGCAGAATTATTAGGCAAGTTGTATTTTTGAGGATTAATTTTATTATTGAACAACAACCATGTTCTCAATGAACCCAAAAAACTCATTAATATCAAAGCTGAATATTTTTGGAAGTAGTTTTTAGTTTGTTTTAGTTATAGCTATGTTAGGGGGATATCTGTGTGTGCAGGTGACTATTACTGTGCATAATTATTAGGCAACTTAACAAAAAACAAATATATACCCATTTCAATTATTTATTATTACCAGTGAAACCAATATAACATCTCAACATTCACAAATATACATTTCTGACATTCAAAAACAAAACAAAAACAAATCAGTGACCAATATAGCCACCTTTCTTTGCAAGGACACTCAAAAGCCTGCCATCCATGGATTCTGTCAGTGTTTTGATCTGTTCACCATCAACATTGCGTGCAGCAGCAACCACAGCCTCCCAGACACTGTTCAGAGAGGTGTACTGTTTTCCCTCCTTGTAAATCTCACATTTGATGATGGACCACAGGTTCTCAATGGGGTTCAGATCAGGTGAACAAGGAGGCCATGTCATTAGATTTTCTTCTTTTATACCCTTTCTTGCCAGCCACGCTGTGGAGTACTTGGACGCGTGTGATGGAGCATTGTCCTGCATGAAAATCATGTTTTTCTTGAAGGATGCAGACTTCTTCCTGTACCACTGCTTGAAGAAGGTGTCTTCCAGGAACTGGCAGTAGGACTGGGAGTTGAGCTTGACTCCATCCTCAACCCGAAAAGGCCCCACAAGCTCATCTTTGATGATACCAGCCCAAACCAGTACTCCACCTCAACCTTGCTGGCGTCTGAGTCGGACTGGAGCTCTCTGCCCTTTACCAATCCAGCCACGGGCCCATCCATCTGGCCCATCAAGACTCACTCTCATTTCATCAGTCCATAAAACCTTAGAAAAATCAGTCTTGAGATATTTCTTGGCCCAGTCTTGACGTTTCAGCTTGTGTGTCTTGTTCAGTGGTGGTCGTCTTTCAGCCTTTCTTACCTTGGCCATGTCTCTGAGTATTGCACACCTTGTGCTTTTGGGCACTCCAGTGATGTTGCAGCTCTGAAATATGGCCAAACTGGTGGCAAGTGGCATCGTGGCAGCTGCACGCTTGACTTTTCTCAGTTCATGGGCAGTTATTTTGCGCCTTGGTTTTTCCACACGCTTCTTGTGACCCTGTTGACTATTTTGAATGAAACGCTTGATTGTTCGATGATCACGCTTCAGAAGCTTTGCAATTTTAAGAGTGCTGCATCCCTCTGCAAGATATCTCACTATTTTTGACTTTTCTGAGCCTGTCAAGTCCTTCTTTTGACCCATTTTGCCAAAGGAAAGGAAGTTGCCTAATAATTATGCACACCTGATATAGGGTGTTGATGTCATTAGACCACACCCCTTCTCATTACAGAGATGCACATCACCTAATATGCTTTATTGGTAGTAGGCTTTCGAGCCTATACAGCTTGGAGTAAGACAACATGCATAAAGAGGATGATGTGGTCAAAATACTCATTTGCCTAATAATTCTGCACTCCCTGTAGATTATTATAATAATCACAGCAGAGTTTGTCTGCATCTCTGACTTAGCAGTGTTCAGTTTTAAGTCATTAGGGGGATGCTGAGTTGAGTTAATGGGTTACTCCAAGCAGCATGACCATAAGTGGTTTAAAGTGATCATGGTGCCTGCAGTACATATGAAACTGTATAAATTCAATTAGTGATACAGAATTGTGAAGATTAATGACATTTCATCCAACATGGTACCATGGCAACGTATACAATATGTACTTAAAAAGCAGGGCAGGGATCCCATTACTCATTTAATACCCAGAGGAAGCAGGGCCAGTTGTCAAGAGTTAAGATATATAAGCAAGGATCCAGCTTCAGGAGATGGCAATGTGATTAGCTGTGCAGGTACAACCAATTACATTGGATTTTAGCCCTGTTACATCTAGTGCATTAAAACAAAACATTTATGGATATTTGTAAAAAAAAAAAGAACATATAATGTTACACAATGTTGTGAGTGAACGACATAACAAGAAATCTTGTTTAACTTTATAGGACAGTCCAGCTACAAGGGTCGGTGACCTCAATCTCTCTGCGGGGCCAAGGTCATCAGTTTTTTGTTGGCACTGATCAGGCGCAGATATACCGGTTTAATTACCCAGAATTCAACGAGGAACTCTTTGCTTCTTGCCACAACGAGCCCATCAACGATATTGTTTTTCCCTTGTACGTAAACGTTGTGCAGCGTGACAGCATTTAGCTACTTTGCCATTCGTTCTGTCCTTTCCTTTCGGAGACTCCATATCTTTTGCATCTCAGTGTTTCTTACAGTAACCTTTGCAAAACCATTCATTCTGTATTTTTTTAATGATTCAGTCTTCCCTATTACTACTGGGCATCAGTTCCACAAATCTACCAATTGTGGAGAAATTCCCCAAATTCTCCTCTTTATATTAATATTCCTCTTTCAAAATATCCTTCCCCTCTGTGTTTTTCAGTTTCCTAGGGTAAGTGAACATTTATTTTCTCCTCTGTTGTTCCTGCATTTGTCTGTCACTAAAAGTTAGCATCTTCTAAAATTAGCTAAAACAGTACTGTCATCTGCTTAATTTCCTCAGTGGTACCTCCGATCTGTTTGCCACGTGCTCAAAAAACGATATTCGTGTTTGGCTCAACTCAAGCCACAAGGAACTGCTACGGATTACCATTCCCAATATGACATGTTTTGCCATTGATATTACAAGGGATGGGAAGTGCATACTATCAGGTGGGATGAGGAACATGAACATATGTCATCAATTAATGCTACATCTCTGTCCTGAGGGCATATCTCATCAAGATTACAGTTAAATTTCTGTCCTTTACCTTTAAACAAATTGGCAACCCTATTTTATGTCATAAGAAAAAGTGTAGTTTGATTCATATCGAATATTTTTAGTTTACTATAATATACACTGAACATGATTATTAATTACGTTCGAAATAGAAATATTTTTGGGTAAAATAGCTAAGGTTGTGACTATAGCTAAATTCGAAATTTTTTCCAAACCTGATAACCTGATAATCAAACTGTCTACAATTCAGACCCAGCAGTCGTCGTTCATTGGGAAAGAATCCTACTCTAAGTGTTTATAGTCAGTGATCAGTTGTGAAGATCTGACAACCTGCTTCCAAATTTTAAGCCAAGATAGACTATTTGGGGGAAAAAAATAGTAAATGTAAAAAAAATGCAAGTTCTAAAAAAAAATAAAAGCTTTTTAAATTTAAGATGATAGAAATTGATTCCATTTGGAGTTTGGAAATCATGGTGTAATTTGTGTTCTTACAGCTTGGGACGACGGTAAGATCAGGGCGTTCACACCAGAAAGTGGTCGTCTAATGTACATTATTGAAAATGCTCACAGCATGGGTGTCACAGCCATCGCACTAACCAATGACTGTAAGAGGATTATCAGTGGAGGAGGCGAGGGACAGGTTTGTAGCCAAACTCAGTATCCATTGCCTCTTGCTTGCTAGTATCCCATTGTGTTATTTTATTAACATCAAACAATAAAATAAAGACACATTTTGTTGTCGTAGGTGAGAGTGTGGGAGATCGGAAAAGAAAGCCGCTGGCTGGTACAATCCATGAAAGAGCACAAGTCATCAGTGTCTTGTATCAACGTCAAAAGCAACAACCGCGAGTGTCTCACGGCAAGCTCCGATGGGACTTGTATCATCTGGGACATTGTGTGAGAACCTGGCTTACAGATTTATTTATTTGCTAGAGCAGAGGTTCCCAACCCAGTCCTCAAGTACCTCCTACCTGTGCAGGATTTTACCCTGTTGTGTCTAAAAAATTTGTTTTTTTTCTCTAAAACACCTTAGACACAACTGGGTAATTCCTAGATCCTGGACTGTTAGGGTTTACTTGAGAACTGGGTTGGGAATCACTGTGCTAGAGGATCAAGCAGTAGGAATGTCAGAGCCACCAAATTTTACTGGACACACTATCAGCGTTATTCACCAATTATCTAGTATGCTTCCAATTTGGCTTCTTAAATTTGACATTGGTGTTTAATTTACTTAAAATTCCTGATAATTCGTACTTTAATAAATAGCCCTGATAGAGTATTACTATTCCATAGTTTAGTTATGTTGTAGCATAACTGGACTTACAGTAGCCAATAGCTAAGGCCTCAGCTATGCCTAGGTAAACGTTGAAAATAACCCAATGGAATTTATAAAGGAGAAGGGGTTACATTGTTTGGGATATATAAGGTTTTCCACAGTCTCAACACTATTCCATGGTCTCCAGGGACAAAGTACCATTCGTTGGTACGTGACATGAATTAGATCATTGGGTTGTTTTAGGTAGCTGTATATTTAATAGTTGTTATATTTTAATACTTTATTTGAATGTGCTGTTGCCCTTTTTCCAGTCGTTTTGTGCGACTCCAGATGATCTTATCAAACACTTTGTTCCGCTGCGTGTGCTATCACCCTGAGGAGTTCCAGTTTCTTACCAGCGGCACCAACAGAAAGGTCAGACATCCTATTAATAAAGGGGCAGACAAAGGTAGAGCCCTAGATATTGTAGAACTACACCTCCCATGATATTTTGCACTCTTTATTTCTGGCAGAGCATCATGGACATTGTAGTTCATAGCTGGGGATCTACTATTGTCATCACTATCTCAATGCATTTCCTAGACACAAGCTCTTCTCAATTCATCTACTCTGAGATGTCCACTTTCTTCACTGCGCCACATCACAAAATATATGTCTGCATCACTTCATTTTGGAGCCTAAAATTAACTTTGATAAAAATGTGAACATTATTAGATCAGATCAGAGGGGAATCTGAGAAAAGGGTCATTTCTAGGTAATCACTTAGTCATTCATTGCTATCTACGTTATTAGGGAAAACGGTCAGAAAAATTAACGTTTTGGTACTTTGCTACCTTGCAAAGTTTAATAGCCATAGACCTTTAGTTTTTGTTTTCAATATAACTTGTAGTATACCATTATACATTTATCGGCCAGTTGACTATAACTCTGGTGAAATAAGGAGTGCAACAAAGCTGAATTCTTCCATATAAATTGTGACAGTCCCTTTAACCCCTTAAGAACACATGACGGAAATATTCCGTCATGATTCCCTTTTATTCCAGAAGTTGTGTCCTTAAGGGGTTAAAGCAGGAAGCATTGTCTTTCCACTACGTAATCCCTCCTTGGTTTTCTCCTCCATAGATTGGATACTGGGAGGTGTATGACGGTTCAGTAATCAGAGAGCTTGATGGATCCCTATCTGGAACCATCAATGGAATGGATATCAGCAGTGATGGGCTTCACTTTGTTACAGGTAATGTTACAGCAATTGCTGGTTCATAGTGTGACACAATGCTATCAACACAGCAGTGTCTGAAATGTCCACGTAACTAAATTTTCTTTAAAAAAACCTGCTGTCTTTTCTCTAACCCTATTTTATTTATTATCTTGCTCACTGTTAAAATAAAAACAGATATTTTTTTTTTTAAATCAGATGTATATTTAACCCTTTAAGGCACAGAACATATTAATACTTTATATTTATAGATAGACACAAATAACACAGTATAAGCTGTTTCATTACAAATATAGTATATTTTTCAAAATATGAGATGCACAGGAATATAAGGCACATTTATATATTTTAGCTAGAAATTTAGAAGAAGAGTGCAGACTAAGTATACTCTTCTTGCGATCTCTAGCACTAGGTGGTATCGGAGCATTGCTCTGGTAACCTGCAGCAGTCCTCTGAATCGTCAGGGTTCAGAGGAGGAATATATTCTTAATCTGCTCCCAATAAAGGTTCAGGCAGCAGTCTCCAAGGCTCACCACAAACCAGAAAATACAGCACTCGGAATATAGAATGCAGTCATTTTTTTTACCCAAAATTTGGAGGAAAAAGCTGCATCTTATATTACAAAAAATATAGTAATTTGTCTTTTAATCTTCAATAGTAAGGTTATTGCACTAGTTGTCTCAGTTGTAAATTTACAGAAATCAGTATTTCAAATTTTAGTTCAAAATATCTGAACTGAAACATTGCTCAGCGATTAGATATTCTTTCCTGTTTGGTTATTTTGCAGATTTTTGTAAAAAATATTAAAAAGCCAATCAGCATGGATTTAATCACTAAACAGCAAATCGTAGTACATAAAACTATTTAACTACATTTAGCTCCTGGCATTTAACACTTCAATGATTAATCCTGTTAGTCTGAGTCAAAGTGAAAGCAAAACTTCAGGCTCATTTTACCAACTTGTATTTCAGGATAGACATATTCCTAAGCATTTTTCATTTCCATTATAAACGATTTACTTCTGTTCTTCCACCAGGTGGCGATGACAAGCTTGTAAAACTCTGGGATTACAATGAAGGAGAAGTTAGCCACATGGGAATTGGGCACAGTGGCAGCATCAGCCGGCTAAAAATCTGTCCCCTCTCTAGGTGCATCATCAGCGTCAGCACCGATGGGGCAATTCTGCGTTGGAATTACCCTTTCCCAGTCTAGGATTATTTTACCATAAACCCTGTGTATGTTAGCAGACCGCATTTTCTGTCATGTTTAACCTCATTGTTTTATTTATATGTTTAACAATTGCAGACTTGTTATAAAATAAAGACAAATTCCAAACAGAAAATCTAAATTCTGTTTATCCTTTGTGGAATATTTTACTAACACACCTGTAATAGTTTGGATAGGAATTTTTGTACAGCGCTATGAAATTTGCTGGTGCTATATAAATAATAAAATAATAATAATAATAATAATAAGGGTCTGTACTATAAACACTGAATTTTAATGAATTGAAAGTCAAATTGTAAAATGAATAGGCTGCCTTTTTAGTGGTATTATCACTGTGGTAAAGAGAATGTGTTATACTTGAATTGGAACCCTTATGCATCAATGCAAGAATAAAATAAGAAGACCCCTTTAAATTATTCTTACAGGGAACACTCGAGAAAATAAACCATTGGGATTATTTATTAAAGAATAATAACTAATTCTAAATGAACATGTATATATTTTGGATTGCATAATGTGTACTTGATGATTATTTGCCGATATGGGGGGGGGGGTGCTAATGCATATGCACAGCAAGCTCTTTAGGCCCTCTCCATAGGAAAGCATTGTGTAAGACATCCAGCCTAAGCTGGGTGACCAAAAGTCGCCTAGCAAGCAGGAAGTGCCTCTAGTGGCTGTCTGATTGACAGCCTTTAGAGGCTGGCTTAACCCTGCAATGTAATGATTGCAAGTTCTCAGAAACTGCAATAAATAACATTTCAGGGTTAAGGGGACATAAACATTGCACCCAGACCAGTTCAATGAGATGAAATGGTCAGGGTGCCTATAGTGTCCCTTTAAACCAGTCCCAAACTTCCCCTTAGGGTTCAGGTTTTAGCAGTATCCCCTTTCTAATGAACTTGGAAATCACACATGAAATTATTCACTAAACAGAAATTTGTAGTAAAGTAAAAACAAAACTAATATTTAACTTCATAGCAGAGTTGATGAAATTTCCAAATTTAACTAATTTCCCTGAAATTGAAAATTTAAGATTTTAATTCTCTACAATTCTCTATTTAGTAAATAAATAGAAAATTATTGAGCCATTGGGAAAAAAAAACTGGTGTAGGACAAAGGTCTTCAGATATATCTCCAGTCCAGAACATTATGCCATACCTGATTTAGCACAGGTGAGTTAATCAGCAGAGCAGTCATTATAATTGTTTAATGTGTGCACCTGTTGGGAGACATTCATATCCTGACCAGTGGGTGTGTAATAAGGTAAAATTGAAAGAAAAAAAAATAGTCTAGGCTAGGGTTTGGATTAGAAAACCTTAATATAGATACCAAGCTCCTAAGAAAATAAAAAAGCCAAAAGGGCTGAAGCTGGACCATTCTTTTTAGAATTTATTTTTAGAATTTCCTTGTGAGTTACCCACAATTTCTAAAGTATGACTGTATTCACAAAACTGCAAGTTATTGTTATTACCCAACCTGTGATTACAGCTGAGTTGGAGAAGTGTTCCAGATCACCTATATTGAGCTATCAGAGTTTGGTGAATAAACCAGACAGTGAGTAAATAGCAACTTTGAATTTATTTGCTAAAGTGAGAATTGAAAGTGAATTTCAAAATTAAGGCCTTGGCAATCAAAATGAAAGCATAGCTGAATGAGAGAATGTTTCCAGTTTGGCATTTTTGATCTTAAAGAAACACTATAGCATTAGGAAAACAAAACTGTAGTCCTAACCAGGGTCCAATTTCCCCCAAGGCCACTGCTGAGCGTCGGGAGGCCGGAGAGGGGCAGCATGGCCAGTGTAGGTTTTCTCCAACCCCCATTCCAGTTCCGACAACTATCCTCTGTCAGTAATACATTGTACAGCCCCCATGTTAGTGCCCTGTGCCCCTCTGCTACAGGCCCCTATAATTCAGCCACCTGGCAGTCTACCTATCGTATTCAGTCATTCCCATGCTGGGCTTCAGCCAATGAAACATGGGGTGGAGACTGGGAAGTGGAGCAATACCTGCTGTACCCACCCTGTTGGTGGAACTCTGTACATACACTGGTTTCGGGGGTCTGGGCATGACGCACATGCCTTAGAGCTTCCCCATAGAAAAGCATGATGCTGGACGTCCTTGTGCAACTCAGGAGGATGTCCAGATTTGTTTCACAGAATTAAACTCTGTGAAGCACCAGTATGCACCTGTAGTGGCTGCAGGGCCACCATCAGGGGGTGACAACCATAATGGTTGTCACGGGCCTGGCGGCCCTGGGGGGCCCATCGGGTGGCCCACACACTTAGGGCCACCTGATGGGCCCTATATCTTCAGGGTCCCGGTCAGAGCTGTGACCATGGTATAGCGCGACCGGGCCCCTTTAAAAAAAAAAAAAAAAAGCAGCCGCAAGTGCTGCTGGGAGGAAGTGGTCACTTCCTCCCAGCTCACTCCGCGCGGGAGGAGTGCGTGCCGGTGAAGACGGAGAGCCAGGCAGCGAAGAGGGAGCCGCGCCAACTCTCATCATCCCCAGCCACCCTCCTGCAAAGAAAAGGTAAGAGACAGGAAGGTAGCTGGAAAATGAGCTGTGTGTGTGTGTCTGTATGCATGTCTGTCTGTCTGTCTGCATGCATGTATGTCTGTGTATGTATGTCTGTCTGTGTATGTATGTCTGTCTGTCTATCTGTATGCATGTATGTCTATGTATGTCTGTATGTCTGTCTGTATGCATGTATGTCTGCATGCATGTCTGCATGTATGTCTGTGAATGTCTATCTGTATGCATGTATGTCTATGAATGTCTGTATGTATGCATATATGTCTATGTATGTCTGTATGTCTGTCTGTATGCATGTATGTCTGCATGCATGTCTGCATGTATGTCTGTCTGTATGCATGTATGTATGTATGTCTGTATGCATGCATGTCTATGTATGTATGTCTGTGTATGTCTGTCTGTATGTCTATGTATGTCTGTATGCATGTATGTCTGTATGTATGTATGCATGCATGCATGTCTGTATGTATGTCTGTGTGTATGTCTATGTTTGTCTGTCTGACTGTATGCATGCATGTATGTCTATGTATGTATGTATGTCTGTATGCATGTATGTCTATGGATGTATGTCTGTATGTATGTCTGTCTGTATGTATGTCTATGTATGTACATATGTATGTCTGTATGTCATTATATATGTATATATGTATGTCTGTATGTCAGTATGAATGTATGTCTGCATATCATTATGAACGTATGTCTGTGTGTATGGATGTCTGTATGCGTGTATGTCTGTCAGTATGTCTGTACATATGCATGTATGTCAGTCTGAATGTATGTATGTCTGTATGCCATTATGAATGTATGTCTGTGGATGTCTGTATGCCATTATGAATGTATGTGTGTATGGATGTCAGTGTCTGTATGTCTGTCAGTATGTATGCATGTGTGTGTGTATGTATGTATGTCGGTGTCTGTATGTATGTATGTGTCTTTATGTCCTCATGCATGTGTGTCTGTATATATGTTATTATGTGTCTGTCTGTCACTATGTATGCCTGTGTGTATGTGTCAGTATGTATGCCTGTATGCGTGTATGTCTGTTTCAGTACGTGTGTCTGTTAGTATGTATCTGTGTCCTTTTATATCAGTGTGTTTGTGTCTGTGTGTGTATTCCTGTGGGCGGTATTTGGAGGCGGGCCCCAGGGGACCCAGACCCTGAGCTGAGTTAGGGGCCCCAAAATTTCTGGTGGCGGCCCTGGGTGGCTGTATGGTAGGCAGTAACTAGAGGTGTAGTAAAGTCTGCAGTGTAATTATTGCAGTTTCTCAAAAAACTGTAATGTTTTACTTGCAGGATTAAACAGACAGGGACACTGCACCCAGACCACTTCAATCTGAATTCCCACTTTAATAAATAAAGCTGTCATCTCATGAACTGGATTAAACTAAATGTCCTCAGGTCTTAGCTTCCTGCCTGTGAATCTGTAACTCAAAGTGTAATTAGTTTTTTTTATAATACATGCATTCTCAAAGATGCCCACTAGATGGCAGCTAATGTTAATGGACACAAAGTATGTAAAGAGTTACTCCAACCAAAAACCAGTGTTTTAATACAACAATATTTTTAGTCAAAGTAACCATTATTAGCAGGCATAGTTCACCTCCCCCCCCCAAAAAAGAAATAAATAAAAATATCTTCTTTCCCGTACTGAGACCAAGTTCTCCCTGCAGCCCAATCCTCCTTTGGTGTTGTCACTGTCCTTGGTTAAGGGGGAGGGTGTCAAGGGGGTCGTACCCCAACTTACAGGAATGGCAAATCCCACAATCAGAGGTACTAGATATATGTATCACTGGACCTTATAGTGGCTGGACTTAATGTAATACAGATACATATAGAGTCACTAAAGAGCAAATATTAGTGAATGGCAAAATGTATGTAGGCCAACTCCAATTCAGCAATAGGCACAGCTTGATTGTTTTAGCATACATTTTGCAATCATGGCCTTGATTTAATAAGCTTAATAATGTTAAAATAAAACAAAAAAAACATTCTAAATGATTTATTAACAAACATATCCATACACATGAATGGTGACTTCTGTAGATCAATCATTGAAAAAATTATTTTCTACAGAAATATTTGGAAAGCACGAAATCAAGGTCTATGTTTGCAATTCCCCACAATTCGGAGTTCGTTCAATAACCAACTGCATGAACAAAACTGCAGCTCGTTAATTCGGGGGGTGGGGGGAATGACAATTTGGCGCTGTAAGATCTACTCAGATCTGTTATATCATTCCTCCAGCATTGGCCTTCATTGAATATTTTTGGATAATTTTTTGAAATTATTTTCTCAAAATATTATTATAATAATAATAATATAATTCTAATATCCCAAAAATATCATATATTAAAAAAAACAAATTCAATACATTAAAGTATTTTTCAAAAAGGTTAATTTGTATGAGAAGCTTATGCAAAAATATTAAATCGAGGCTATTAATAGGTCCTACTGCTCCAAAGTTCTTTATACCTGCCAGAAGCCTGACCTATGTTACTCACTCCCGGTAAGACTGCCATTGTAGTATGTCTAAATAAGTCCATCAATATTTATATATTATAGTTTGATCTATGTCTTAACTCCTCCACTTATTCCCACTATGGGTTACTTTTTGTCACTTCATCTAATAACTAAATGGCAAGAAAAAAAATATTTTTTGGACGAAGTGGT